AATGCAGAGTGACTACCCAGGCCTTGGAGCTCTGGCATCTTGCTTGACTCAGACATGTAATAAATCTGTTTAAGTGGAAAAAAACAAAAGCAATTTCTCTCTGGCCAGCCCCCTGAATAACTGTCCCCAAGGGGCTAAAAGAAGCTTTCCTTTCCTTGCAAAATCCTTAATCATGTCTCACAAATATGAGTTTTCCATGCAGCTGCAACAGATGAGAAATAGGGAGAGACTAAGGAGAACAGACATGTCTTGGTTCTTGAGGATCTGATTGTTGAATGAATGGCCAAGAGGGGTCTTCCACATGTCCCTTAGAATGTGGAGAGTTTCAGAACACAAGGGGATATAGTGATGGTACCTGGGTGATATGGTGGCAGGAGAACTATGGGGACTACAATGATGAAAGAAAAAAATTAATAATAAAAGAAAAAAGAAAAAAAACAAACCCTGGAGAGTTTCCAAGAACTCTGTTCTGGTGAGTTCTTATCAGTGAGTTTGCCAAACCCACCAAATTTTCAAACAACCCCACATTGAAAGGGAGTTAGAGACAGAATTACAGCTTTTCATTGACTTTGGCAGCTTTGGGGGCACTGAGCTGATTACTGTAAATTGTAATTGAGTAGGGACAATGTTAAAACCTGTTCTTCAAAATCAAAGGAGAAGTAATGTTTAGATTAACAAGATTTTTATATGAAGAGTGTGTAGGGATTTTTACTTGACTACAAGAAAAGTTTAAGTCAGCAGCATGATGTGGTTATATTGAAAAGAGGTCAGAGACCAAAACAAGGAAAGCAATCTTTCTACTTTATACAATTTGTGCTTAGAATATCCGGTGTCTCGTATTCAGTGTAGGGGCCAAATTTAAGAAAAATTGATAAACTGGACTTGATCTCTAGGGAAGGAAGCTAAAGAAAGAGTCACATTTAAAGGATCCCAAAACTCTGTTGTTTAAACAATGGCTGAGTAAATATTCAGCTTTCCCTTGGAGATACCATATGGGAGAGGAGTAAACTTGTCTGTTTTGCTCGAAAAGGCAGAAATGGAATTAATGAGAGTGAGTTCATGAAAACAGATTCTGGCTCAAGAGAAGGAAAGTTTTTCAAATTATTAGAGCAGTTCGGTGATGGAAAGGACTATTTCATTAAATTGTGAGCTTCCTGTCACTTGGAAATATTCAAGCTAATGATGAATGCCTTTCTGGAATGCTGCACATTCCCAGGGTTGAAGGAGATCTTGGGGTAGCTGACCTTTACGGTCCCTTCCAACTTGCATAGTCTATGATTTAAGTAAGCGTGAATGCCAAGGCCAGTTATGACAGGCCAGATCCACATTTTCAGCTCTTGGCTCTGAGCCTGACCAGCTGTGTGACCTTCAGCTAAAAAATTAACCATTTTGTGCTCCAGTTTCCTCATCCATAAAATGAGAAAGTTGGATTTAATGATGTCAAGTCACTCCTCATCATATCTGTCTCCTTGACCATCCTCGTAATGACAGCCTGGTGGAAAAGTACAGTTTGAGCTGATACTTGCTATTTTTTCTATATTGGCTGGCAGGGAGAAGATTCAAAGACCCCAACCCATTGTCAGTTCCTGGGCCAATGAAGTAAACTCTCAATTGCTTGTTGGGGGGAGAGGGAGTGGTTGTGATCCTGGGATTTGTTCCCATGAGATCTGTGGCAGGAAGTTGATCAAATAACTGATAATCTGGTTTCTCTCAAACACCTGTATGTTGCTGGCTGAGCTCAGCAAGCCCTTTGCAAACAACTTAGAAGAAATGAAGATCATATTACTATTGCAATATAGTTCTGTCTTTTACAAAGCAAACCTTTGTTCTTTATTTTCTTAATAATCTGGTAATTGCTGTTGAGCTTTGCTTATAATCATAAGAACAAATATTCATGAAGTGACTTACAATACAGTAGAAACTGTTCTGAATGTTTTATATAAATAAGTTTATTTAATCAGTTTGTAAGCTGAAAATCTAATGATGAATTGGTAGATTAAATACTTGTTCTCAGGCAAAGGAGTAGTTAAAATCCAGTTTTAGCCCTTCTTAATGGTAAAGAATACAGAATTCAAATCTGAGCCCTCTTTCTTTTAGACTTCATTGCTGATGTTTAATTATTGTAATTTCCTTTGTGATTCATTTGATTATTGATATTTTTCTTCTCCTTCTGTATCAAAGTGCCTCATCCTCCACTGATACTGCCTCTTCTATTCCTTCTTTGACATCTCTTTTACATATCATTGTCTCCAAATTCCATTTTTCTCAGTTATTTTTTCCAAAGGTCTTTGAAAATGTAACCAGCAGTAAGAGTGTCATTTGCTTTGATGTAGAGGTATGGACTGGATTCCAAATCTCTCTTCCTGTTACTTAGGTCAGCAGGGGAAAAAATAAGTAAACTTATGCTTTTTGTGGGGACATGAGGAATTTAAAACTTTATTCTCAGTCTCCTGGGTCTGGCAGAACTAACTCCATCCAAGTGGATGGAGTTTTCTTCCATCTCTTTGTTTCCTTAGGTTGGAAATGAAAACAGCTGTTAAAAATAAGAGCCTGTGAGTCAATCTTGAATCTCAATGTAGTAATTACAGTTTCCATCTCAGTCAGTAAAGTCCCTCCCAGAGTATTAAGCCTGGTAGGAGACTCCTCCTTGTTGTCACTTTATACCAGGACCTTAGATTTTGTTTTCCAAACCTCTAAGATTAAACAATAAAACATTTCCCAAACCAGAAAAAAAAGGCAGAAAATATCTTAAATTAAAATTCACATTTAAAAACTTGAATTTTGAACATGTCCTTTTTCTGATTTAGATTTTGACTGAATCTGTGTCTATCTTAGCAATGTCAACTGAAGCTTCACATTTTTGAAAGTGGTGCTCTACCTTCCAGGTACCTTCACTATACAAGATTTTACTCAAACTCTTGAAGAGGTTATGCCTTGAATTGTATTTTCTCTTTTCCACGTTTCTGTGGCTGATGATCTTGTAAGTCAATCTCAAGAGTCAACACACAACCTATTAATTGTTGTTTTTCTGTTACTTCTGCTTGATGCCCTATGTCAACCACTCAATCTTTTTTTTTTTTTTTTCAGATTTATTTATGCATACAAGAACTGGGGTTTAGGCCAGAGGTGTGGTGGGGAGGGGGGAGAGGATTCACCAGAGACAGAGTGGGAAGCAGAACAGGCGGATTGACTGAAATACACTGCTGAGGGGAGCAGCGGTCAAGTCAGGAGAGGCCTGCTGCACCATGTGGTAGCTCCCTGGCTGGGGATCAAACTTGTGCTTCAGTGGCTGCAGATAGCTTCATAGTACTGAGACTTAGCCCCTGGTGGCATAACCATTCAGTCTTTGACTGAACAATCCTGTTATCTTAAGTTCTGCTGTTTCCCCTATCAAACAGCTGCTAATGGTTTCCCTATAGATGCTGATCAAATTCCACTAGAATAGAGAGAACTTGAGTCCTACTGGGAAAGAAGGAGGAGGCAAGAGACTCAAACCTTTCCATCACTTCACTTTGCCCACTTCCTCTAAGACTTGATTTCTTTATTGTTAGATTCAATTACTCATTTTATTTGAGGGAAGAGGAGGATTGTGTTTTGTTTTTTTTTTTTTAATGAGTCTAAAGGTTAGGAAGTTATAAAACATTTCTGTATTTACTTATTTCAAATAAAATTGTATTGATGTATCATTGGTTTACATTACTATATACATTTTGGGGGTACAGTTTTGTATCTTGATATGTGTATGTACCCACTGCACCCACTGCCAAAGTTAGATTATTTCTAAAATTCATTTATCTCCCAAGATTTCTGTAATTCTTTTATAGTTGTGTCCTCCAGGAGCTAGTTATATGAGTTGAAAATTGTCAGCTTGGGTTGCTATCACATAAACACCAAAGCCTGGGAATCTGAGATCAAGTCACTGGCAGATCTGGGGTCTGGAGTATTTGGGGGCAAGGTGGTGGGGACTGGGAAAAGCAGAGACAGAGAGATTGCTAACTCATACCTTTTCTAGAAGGGTGCTAATTCCATCATGAGTGTTCTGCTATGATATCCTTATTTCCTCTCAAAGGCTCCATCTTTCAGTATCATCACATTGAGGATTAGGGTTTCAGCATATGAATTTGGAGGTACAGACACTTAATGTATAGCAGAAAGGGAGAGACTTGCATGCACAGTGAGATTTGTCGACTTCTGGGGAGACCAGTTAGCCCTGTTACCTCAACCACACCTAAAATTCTACCTTTAGATATTCATTTCTTTTGATAAAATATTACCTTTCAGATATGAGGTTTTTAAAAATCCAAAATGTTTGGAAGGCCAGGCCCATAAAATGAGTATGTGAGACAGTATCTTGTAGTGCTTAGAAGCAGGCCCTGGAGTTAGACTGCTTGAATGCACAACTGTAGTAACTGCATGACTTTAGGCATTTAATTCATCTTTCCGTGCTTTTATTTCCTCATCTGTCAAGTGGGACTGATAAGTATACTCGCCTCAGAGGTTTTTGTGAGATTTCAGTGAAATACATATAAGTTAGAAGAACAGGATCCCGCTAAATGTTAGTAATTATCATCTTTCATTTTCATAAATTAGTGTATTGTATTGATAGTTGCACAATCATCCTCCATTTACATAAATTAACATGTTCTATTGATAGCATTTTGACTAAAAGTAGCTATCAGGTCATGAAGAAAATGAAATATTGTTCTGGAAACTGGGAGGGGATGCCTTAGATACCCTGGTGCCTACAGGAGGCATTCACATAAAGGAGAAAGGGGGATGGAGGTGCTTCTAATGGACAGAATGAACCAGTTAGCATGGTGGCCAAGTAGCGTGATGGAGACTTAGCAATTTCTTTGCATTCAGCGCTTGCTTAACTTTTCTGCATCCCTTGCAATATCCCCCTAATGCTAGGTCTCTGATCCATTACACTTGGGGAACCATGGAGAAATATCAGAAAAAGTGGTTTTTCTTTGCTCACTGCCCTTGCCTCTTTCTTTTAGATTACATGAAGCACATGACATTTGAAGCCCAAGCCTTTTTAGAAGCTGTGCAGTTCTTCCAGCAGGAGAAGGGGCATTATGGTTCGTGGGAAATGAACACTGGAGATGAAATCCAGGTAAGCTGGGACTCAGCGTTTTGGGACCTCTTCTCCATCTACATAGTAGGGGGTCAGGATCATAATAAACCATCAAAAAAAGTTGCTTGAATGGAAGATCAAAGTCCACTTCTCTTATTGTCTGGAAGCCCTGAGACACCTACTCTGAAGACCCCAGACCAGGCATTAAATAGGGCCCAAGCACTGCAGCTGCAATGGGAAGGGCTGATTCCACTTTCTCTGCACAAAAAATTATTCTTTTAAATGGCCTCATCCTTCCAGACTAGGAGCAAATGTGAGCAAGTGTGGCATCATGTGGGGTGGTGCTCTAGGCTCCCAGCCCAGGTTTAAATCTTGCCAAGTAATTTAACCTACTCTTTAGTCTCAGGTCACTGCTATAGGGGAAAGAAAAAAAAACAAACAGGAATGACAATGTTTACCTTGCAGGGCAGTGAGAATTAAATGAGATGTTATTGGAAAGTATTTGGCAAACAGTTTTCTTTATCTAGTAGATGATTTATAAATGAAGTAGTTAATGAAAACAAAATTGGAAAGCATTAGCTAGATTTTAATACATTTAACACATTACCTTTGCTGGTTTTCTATCCTCCTGTGGTTGAGTATATTTCCCAATCTCATTGATTAAATGCCAGCCATGGGCTAAGCACAAGGGGCTTTTTTTTTTTTTTTTTTAAATATTACATGTTCTTTTTAAAAATTTTATTTTATTTATTTATGCATACAGGAACTGGGGTGTAGGCCAGAGATGCAGGAGGGGCAGTGAGAGGATTCACCAGAGACAGAGTAGGGAGCAGAGCAAGGGGATCGACTGAAATACACTGCTGAGGGGAGCAGTGGGTAAGACTGGAGAAGTCTACTGCGCCATGTGGGTCAGCTCCCTGGCTGGGGATCAAACTTGTGCTGCAGTGGCTGCAGATAGCTTTGTAGAGCTGAGAGTTAACCCCTTACACCACCAGGGAGGCCCCATTAGGGTCATTTTAATAGGTCTCCAGGGAAACTGTTTCGTGAGTGACCCTCTCTTCCATGATGGTTTCTGACAGTTGATTCCACCAGGAAGAGGAGGTAGGGTAGGGATTATTTACTAGAGGCACACAGTGTCCAAGAATGCTATTCTTTGGTTTGGCCCAGAGTGCTTCTTTTGGGGGACCGATAAAACTTGTTATAAGGAACAAAATTTAGAAGATGCCACATGAGGCCTTACCTTTCATGGTCATTGAATATTTAAGCCAAAAGCCTTTTCTCACGATGGTTCTTTATTATTTTACCTTATGACTCAGAATCTTCTTCCTCTTGTTACTATTTTTCTTTTGGTGGATTCTAAACTCATGTACTTTCCGTCCTGAGACTTATCCTGTACTTGAACTGATTCTTGATTTCTGAGATTTTGGGAAACTACGTGCATTAATGAATATGAGAGGCAAAGGATTTACAGTACTTGTAGCTAAAAGAAAAACAAAAGTACAAGAGGAGGCTGAATCATTTGAATAAATTGGCCTGTGATAGACCAAACACATTTCATAGACATACCAGTATTAAAAAACCTGCAAGTGGCACAGGCGGTTGAGCGCCATGCTGTGAAGCTGTCCACAGCCTCTGCAGCACCAGTTGGATCCTGGCCGGCCAGCGAGAATCCCACCTGCTGGGCAGACCTCTCATGTCTGGCCCGCTGCTCTCCTCAGCAGTGTATTTCGTCAGTCTGCCTGTTCTGTTCCCCGCTCTGTCTCTGGTGAATCCTCTCATCCTCCCGTGCACCTGGCCTGTACCTCAGTTCTTGTATGAATCAATCAATCAATCAATCAATCTTTAAAAAAAATGCCTGCAAGAGATACTTCTTATGTTCAAATTTTAATTCTCTCTCTCTCACCAATCTTACAAGGTAAGTAGAACAGTTATTGTTCTTTCCATTTTGTAAATGAGAAAACTGAGGCAGGCACACATCAGTTAAGTGACTTTGTTCAGTTTTATTTGCTGAACAAGTATTTACTGAGCCTGGCACTATGTTGGGCAAGAGAAAATATCCCTGCCCTGTGGGGCTGCTGGTTTCAGGGTCACATGCTAAGTAGACAAATGGCAAAGGACATTACAGTTTGACGCCTGGTGGGGGAAGATCGATACCCACCATGAACATATGAAGTTACACATTTCTTTAGCTCCTTGAGTTTAACGATGCCATTTGCTTAATTTTTTTCTTCTATTTGGAACCTCAGCCAGCTCACATTCTTCATGATGCCCTCAAACGATTCATAAATCCTTCCTGGGTGGGAAGGATTGAGGTTTTGATTAGTTTTTCATTGACTTGCTGCTTGACTTGCTGCTTGACTTTCATTGACTTGACTTTGCCTTCAGCTGACAGGCGCTAAGTGTCATCAGAGATACTAAATGACTAAATGACCCAGAGAGAGAACTAAATGACTTGACCTTGGCCATGGAAGTGAGGCAGGACATACCTGGAAGCACACAGAGAACAGACAGAGCAGAAGTGTATGTGGGCACTGGGGTTATGCACATATGGATATCCTGAACACAAAGAGCACAGCCATAATAAAGTACAAATTATACATTGTAAAAAATGTCTTAAGTGGGAAATGCAACAAAAAGAAAAGCAGAGAAGAAATCTGTAAAAGTCAGTGTTGTGGGAAGAAGATCAAGGTGAGGCTGGAGGCACAGGGGGTGAAAGAATTCACCAGAAGACAGAGCAGAGAACAGAAAAGGGGAATTTATTAAAATACATGGCTAAGAGAAGCAGCAGGCGAGACAGAAGAGGTCTGCGTGTGAAGAATGATTTGGGGCTCCCTTTTATAACCTGTTTTTTGGGCTTTTCATGACTGGGCAGTTGGTTTGAGAGAGTTAGTGCTGGGATGTCGGGTCTTGAGTTTTGACCTTTGATACAAAATGTGTCTTGGCCCTGCTTCTGCATTCACGGTTAAAAATGATCTGGTCTTAGGGCCTGGTCCCATAGCAACCTTATCAATTCCCTTTATCTAATCAGGCTTCCCAAACCTTCCTGCTGGGACAGAGATGGGGGCTTAAATTTTAACATATTAAATGACACACAGACAGACAATCGGAGGTATTAGCAAATCAATACCTGATAGAAAACTTTGCTCTTCCAGGAATCTGAGTCTCTTTAATGAAATCACAGACTCATAAAGTGGGAGTGCTGGCTGGCCATTTCAGAATTATTTGTCCAGCACCCTCTAGGTGACTGAAACAATGTTCTGAAATGTTGACTGGAGCCACGAAACTGAACTGTGACAGAGATGCTTTTTGTGCATATGCCAGGCTCTCCTTGGAGGTGAAAGGAAATGGTCCCCAAAACTTTGCTGTGCAGAGTCTGGCAAGATTAGGTCCACTGTGACCTCATACATGGACCCGAAGCAGCACCCGCCCTAAGACTTGCAGACAAAAGAGGTCAGGAGCCCAAAGCAGCTACCAAATAGTTAAAGAAAATAGTACGGCATGACTGAGTTTGAGACTGTGACTTATTGTGGTTAAAGCCTAGCTTTATTTGCATTTTTTCTTCATGTCTGCTGAGAATTTAATCACAACATTGTCTTAATCCACTCGACCCTAAGGACCTGCATTCAGAAGACTTTCAGCATCATTACATTATTATCTTCATAGTAATGATTCACACAGCGAGGATGGCAGGCCCTCTGGGTGATGATTATTTTAGGCAAGTGTCCAGGCAAAGCAAATACCTTGGAATAAGTTGCCTGACAGTCTAATAAAGTGAAGATATTTGTATACCAGTAAAAACATGAATAAGTTTCACTTGTCAATACAAATGTATCAAATGAGGTCAGGAGGGAAAGAAAGTGTTTTGCACACTGTATTTACAGTTATTTGGTCTATTTATTCTTTGCCTTTAAGTGAGCCAGATGGGCCAAGAGCAGCTCATAATTCCCACAGAACAGGGTGGTCTCAAGACAAGAAAACTATCCATTTTTTTTAGGCCATGTCCATATGTTCCAGCACTGCCTTTTGTCTAATGACCTTGAATGCAGTCCCTTTAAGTGGATTCTTTCACGCATGGCCACTTGGCAATACCCCGTTTTAGTTCTCATGGAAAAACTCAACAGATCCTGTGCTGGAGAGAGAAGGTTGGGGAACCCCTTTTTTATGATGATTTATTTATTACTTAAGCTTCATTCTCTGGCAATTTAATCACTAGGGCTTTCAACTCTGCTCTTGGAGAGCTCACCAAGGTAGGAAATCCCTGGGCAGGTTAGCCTTTGCACAGGTCAGGGTGGGGGTGGGGCTGAAGCTTAGAGGAAGAGGGCGATGTTGTTGGGTACCAGTTGGGCATCTGTACTCAGAGACTCTGCTTGCTGTGGGGCTATTTCCTGAGTCCCCACCCTTGCAACCCACACCCTCTCCATTTTTCTCCAGTCATATTTTCCTCCCAATTCCTGAAGTTGTAAAACAGAACCAAATTTCTTGGACCATTTGTATGGAAAAGACTCAAAGCGATAAGCCCCCACCTGAATGGAACATTCTTTCTCTTTGACCTTGGTATAACAGTTTCATCTTTCCAACCCCCTTGCATGACTGCGTTCAGGGTGAAAGTAGTCTCTGCAAAAGAGACTACAATTACTAGCATCCTGGAGTTTAACACTTTCAATTAAGGTAACACTTCTCCTTGATTTTAAGTTCTGGAGTCTATCTCCTTACCCTCTTCGGTTCCTCCCCCCCGCCCCCCATGCTTGTTACATTCTTAGGCAAGTATGTTCCTAAGAGAACTTACTCCCCTGAGCATGATGAGGCTCAGTGGCTTAGTAATTACCTACTTAAATCTAAGTGTTGGACCTGCTTATTTCCATGGAGTTTGCACATGTCAAGTTCACCTTAAACTCCTTCAAAATGCTGGCACACTGCTTGGCTGCACTCCCCCCAGAGAATGGTTAAGAAAAGTAAAAAAAAAAAAATCCTTACCCATGAATTACCAAAACTAGAGGAGATTCCATCCCCATAATAATTTTTGTCACACCCCGAGTTCCACCTCCCAGATGGCAGGAGCCCCACTCCCTGCACACAGCTCAGGTGGCCTTTCTCCCAGGAACCCACAGGCACAGAGGCTGGCTGGCTCTCCCACCCACTTGCACCCTGGAGTTGTTCCTGTTCAGCTCAGCTAAAGTGTTGCACCAGCCCTAGGGAAAGGCAAAATCTAGTTAACTCATGAATATTTTCACTAGCCAAGGTTGACCAGTGTCCTCAGAGAAAAGCGTTCTTAATTCCCAAAGCTTAATATGAATTTTTACAAGGTCAATTATTTTGGACAAATATTACTTAATTGCAGAAAACGGAGGTCAAATGATTCTCTACTTTTCTGTCTGCCTCCATTCCCAAAATGACTCTTGTTCTTTTGTAAATCTTGGTCTGTAGCCTGAAACTGAATGCGGAACTGTGAACCCCAGAAAATTTATAGTAAAAGTGAATCTGAACAAAGCTGCCCTAGTTGGAGCATGGGGGAGGGGAGGAGAGGCCAGAATTTTGTGGAGGAACTTAACGAGCTGCAGACGTATAGAACACTGCTCATATTCAAGAGAAACTTTTAATTAGGCCAAGCAAAATTTCAGGAGAGATTTGGGAATGATCCTTTTTTAAACACTCTGAAAACTTTAGTTCACTACTCCTCCCATATTCTGCTCATCCCACACAGGTCCAGTTGTTCCAAAGTATTTGTTACTCCCTTTTTTTCCTAAATTTAAAGAGGTGAAGATAGGGTTTGGGGACAGTGGGGAGATACCTAGATCCTGGGGGAGTGAGAGGAGTGAGGGACACAAACAAGGACTCCAGCCACCAAAACCAAGCCTGACTCCTTCACAGTGTGGCAGAGAATGCCCTTACCCACAGTTGAAATCTCCTACAATTCTCTTATCCCAAAGGCACTAGGTTCTTCTAGTTTGAATAAGAGAAATTTGACTTTGAGTGAAAACATGTCAGCAGATGTTACTGTTCCTTGCAGATCTTTTTTTTTTTCCTTTTTTATTTAAGATTCATTTATTTATTTATTTATTTATTTACTTATTTATTTATTTATACAAAAACAGGGGTACAGGCCAGGTGCACGGGAGGGTGAGAGAATTCACCAGAGACAGAGCTGGGAATAGAACAGGCTTACTGATGAAATACACTGCTGAGGGGAGCAGCGGGTGAGACAGGAGAGGTCTGCTGCACCATGTGGGACCCTCGCTGGCTGGCCGGCCATCGAACTGGTGCTGTAGACACTGCGGACAGCTTCACAGCACGGCACTCAACTGCCTGTGCCACCAGGGGAGGCCCTCTTTTTTTTTCTTTAAAGATTTATTTATTTTTATTCAAGAACTGGGGTATAGATCAGAGGCACGGGAAAGTGAGAGGCTTTACCAGAGACAGAGAGGGGAGTAGAGCAGGCAGATGGACCGAAATACACTGGTGAGGGGAGCAGCAGGCGAGACAGGAGAGGTCTGCTGTGCCATGTGGGTAGCTCCCTGGCCAGCCAAGAATTGAACCCACGCCTCAGAGGCTGCGAACAGCTTCACAGTGCTGCGCTCAACACACTGCATCCCTGGGGAGGCCCATCCTTGCAGATCTTTAAGAACACCTACTCTAAGTTTGTCATAGTTGGATTTTCTGTGGCCTCAGGCCAGGGTGAAACTATTAACCTAGCAGATTTCATGGGGCCTGGGACAGCCTGAGGTAGCCAGGAGAGGCCACTCCCCCGGAACCCCTTCAGCTGGCCTGACCTCAGCCATCACCATCTCAGGCCAGCCAACCTGGACCTCTGTTCTGCTTGCAGATCCTGAGTAGCCTGGTCATGGAGGAACTCCTGCCAACCCTCCAGACAGACCTGCTGCCCAAAATGAAGGGAAAGAAGAATGACAGGAAGAGGGCCTGGTTCAGTGTGAGTGGTGATTTTGCCTTGCAACCCTGCCACTCGAAACGAAAATTCCCTTCTCTTTATAGGGCAGTGTTGTGTTTAAATAATTCCTTCCCTGGGTGGAGAACTGCCAACCATTGAGTCTGTTCATTCTCACTTACACGAGAACTAATCCAAACAGACTCCAACTTTGAAAGAAAAATTGGAAATATGTACATTTCGTTTGTGCAGTGAGAGTCTGCAATTAACCTGCTCCCTCTGTGTGACGCTGGTGAACGCTTACCTGGGACAAAGCTCTCAGCTAAGTGTTGTGTGTTGCAGCTCCTGGAGGAGGCCTACAACATGGTCCATCATCAGGTTTCAGAAGGATTAAGTGCCTTGAAGGAGGAATGCAGAGCTCTGACGAAGGGCCTGGAAGGAACTGTTCGTTCAGACATGGATCAGATTGTGAACTCGAAGAACTTTTTAATTGGAAAAATCAAAGGTCAGTGGAGATAATCCATATCCTTACTAACAAAATAAACTGTATGTAGTGGCTCTACCACGTAGTTGGTTTTGTGGTTTCAGAGAATTAAAATAAGGGAATTGGGAAGAGGCAATAACAATTGTAATAAGAGCCTGCTAGAGGCACTACTGAGGACCTGGACCTCCCCGTGGAAACTTCAATGACACCAGGTGGAGGAATTAACATGTCACAAAACCATACTCAACATGACAGTGTCTTTGCATCCTTGAAAACAGTAGAGCATCCACGCCTGGGATGTAAAATGCATCCAGTCCATAGGAAAGACCCATAGCCCACAGTTCAGGAGCCCGTGTGGCTCCCAGGGCATCAGGCAACAGTGTCCTCCTAGGGAAGAGGGGAACTGAATGTTAATGAACTCTTCGAGAATTCAAATTGAATAAATTGTGGTTTTACAAGTCAAACTATGCATATGTCGTGATAGTAAATAGGTGGGTCTCCAGGATTTTCTTTTTTATATTAGGAATTTTCTTTTTTATATGTTCATAGGGGCCAGCAGGGGAAAACTTGGAGAGGGGAGAGATTCCGCTGATCTAATTCTCAGAGGTTTGCTGGTTTCCATTCTGGCACTTGCAACACAGGGTTCACGGGACTGGTCTGGCCAGGCTATTTGAGGTTGCCGTGACTGTTAAATGATGCTGTGGGGTGATGTCCAGCCCTGGCCTTACTCCAGGGCCTCCGAATGCAATTTTGCTCCAAGTCCCATTTTTCTGGTTCTTTCCTACTTCAGCGATGGTGGCCCAACCAGCAGACAAAATCTGTGCCGAGAATGTGCAGCCATTCTTGACGTCCATTCTGGAGGAGCTCATGGGACCAGTGAGCTCTGGGTTCAGTGAAGTACGCTCACTCTTTGAAAAAGAAGTGGATGAACTTAGCCAGAACTTTCAAGCCACCAAAGACAATATCCAGCTAAAGGAGGTAGGCTGCAAAGCCAAGATGCTGAGTGAGGACATTCTCCCAGAGCTGGCTTTTCCATAAGGATGCGTCTGCTTTCCTCTCTCCCTCCCTTCCTGCTCACTTGAAAAAGCAGGCTATTTAATTTTGCCACTTGAAAACCATTAATTGGGCCTCCCCGGTGGCGCAGTGGTTGAGCGCTGGGTTGCGAAGCTGCCCGCAGCCTCTGCGACGCCAGTTCGATCCCCGGCTGCTCCCCGGCCACCAGAGGAGGGTCCCACATGGCGCGCAGACCTCTCCTGCCGCCCGCTGCTCCCCTCAGCAGTGTGCTTAGGTCCTTCTGCCTGCTCTGCTCCCCACTCTGGCTCTGGTGAATTCTCTCACCCTCCCGCGCTTCTGGCTGTACCCAGTGCATGTATAAACAAAACAAACAAACAAACAAACAAATAAATAATAAAACATGCCTCTATAATAAAAAAAAAAAAGAAAACTTAAAAAAAAAAGAAAACCATTAATATTGGAAATCAGGTGAATGAATGAAAGAAAAGCCAGATGAATATATATATATGCATAAAGTCCAAATGAATCACCATCACCCATACCCACCCAACCTAGTCCACCCCCAACTCTGAGGCCACCTCTACTTCCAACTCCCTGAAATAACTAAATACTTTAATATTAATATGTTTTCACATACTCTTTCCTTATTCATGCAAATATATCAGCATATATCTCATTTATGCATAATTTGCTTGTTTTCAAAAAATACAGATTCAGGGGCCTCCCTGGTGGTGCAGGTGGTTGAGCACAGCGCTGTGAAGCTGTCCACAGCCTCTGCAGTGCAGTTGGATCCCCACCAACCACAGAGATACTCACATGGCAGGGCAGACCTCTCCTTTCTTGTGCCCTGCTCCCCTCAGCAGTGTATTTCAGTCAGTCTTTCTGTTCTGTTCTCCGCTCTGTCTCGGGTGAATCCTCTCACCCTCCCGCACATCTGGCCTGTACCCCGGTTCTTGTATAAAAATAAATAAATCTTAAAAAAAAAATACAGACTCATGATAAAGACCAGTGTTTCTCAAAGCATGGTCTCTGAACCAGATTGTCATCAATACCTTGTGGTTCAAAGAAGATTCTCAGGTCCCACCATGATCTTATGAATCCAAAATTCTGGGGTTCGGGCCACAGTATGATTTGATAAGACCTCCAGAGAATTTCATGCTCCTTAGACTTCAAGAGTCACTGACAAATACTGCCCAGTGGTTTGGCCTTGCGCTTGATATATTATGATGGACATCCCCAGAAGTCAGTGCATGAAAACAAATGCCTCTGTTTCTTTTCCTTTCTTATTACTTTATATTTACACATACATGCCATTGCACCCAAACAAGATCATTTTGCAAATGTTTTGGCGGTTTATTTATTTTCTTGGATCATTGTTCATATTTATAAGCAATCTTTGATTTCTCCTCTCAGGTGTTGTCCCATAGTTTTCCCACCACCACAGCACTCTGCTTCATCACCACGGTCCCTTGTGCTCTTCCCTCTCCTGTTTTGACTCCCCCCTTCCCCCTCCCCTGCTGTATGCCCCTGCTTGATATTTTTTTCTTTTTCTTGAAGTTTTGTTTTGAGAGACCCCAGTTTTTTAATTAATTAATTTATGTATACAAGAACCGGGATACAGGCCAGATACGCGGGAGGGTGAGAGGATTCACCAGAGACAGAGCGGGGAAGAGAACAGGCAGACTGATGAAACACACTGCTGAGGGGAGCAGCGGGCGAGACAGGAGAGGTCTGCAATGCCATGTGGGACCCTTGCCGGCCGGCAGGGATTGAACCGGCTCTGCAGAGGCTGCAGACAGCTTCACAGCGTGGTGCTCAGCCACCCACGCCACCAGGGGAGGCCCTGAGAGACCACAGTTTTTAAAACCGGATACCTTTCCCAGGTTAGGCCTCTACTTATCACCCTCCTGAAAATCCACTAGCACTGCAGAGAGCCAAGAGTAGAGGGGAGCTCTGTGGATCCTGTCTGAGCCTGAGAGAACTGTAGGCATTCTGACTTCACTCCCAGAATCCAGGAGTCCAGGAGGAATTTGAATCTCCTCACCATGATACTTTTGGGGAAAGGATGCCACTCACAAAAGAAGGTTTGGGAGGCTCCTGGGCCCTGTAACAATTCCATGCGCCCAGGAGCCTAGCATTCCTGAGCTCTAAACTTGGGAGCTCGGAGACCACCAAGAGCTTACAAAGACTGCAACCCCTTGGATGCACCCCTGAGTTCTCCCGTTGTCCAGTTAGTTCTACCAGTTCTGCTCTGTCCTAGCAATAGAGGCACCCAGGGACCCACTGAAGGAAGAAAATCAGATAATGGAAGTTTCAGGATCTGAGAAGTGAGAGCTAGTAACAAACATTTGATTGTTCATCATCTATGCAATGTGTAATAATATTGAATGTACCATGTAAATGTCTGATATGTACCATGTAAATGTCTGAAGGTGCTTAATTTTTTTCCATCGCCAAAATGCAGCATCTAGACCAGCTTAAGAATCTTCCACTGGATTCCGTGAAGATGGAACCTGGTTATATCAAAGTCGACCAGCTCCAAGAACGCTTGCAGGATCTCAGGAGCCGCTTCAGATTCCCCCACGTGGACCTGGTGGCCCAGAGGACACAGAACTACATGCAAGAGGTGGGAACAGCAGGGGTGTATGAGGACAGGAGGAAGCGGGGGACAGTGAGAGGTGGGTGTTGGGGCAGCCCAAGAATGAGGCCTATTTTTTTTTTTATCATCATGTCGAGTGAGGATAAATCTTGTCCTTCCAGCTGGCTTCCTCTTTTTTCCACGTTGATGAACATCGCAGAGAAGAAATATCTCAGGGAGTTAAAGTGACATTAATGGATAATCACTTGGTTTGTCACATCAGTGCTTTTAATTTGGGCTGCACATTAGAATCATCTGAGGAGTGTTTGAGAAATACTTATGCCTCAGCCCCACTCCCTTGATTCTGATTTTTCAAAATAATTTTACCAAGACTTCTCCACTCCCATTCTCACTGCTTCTAAAGTGCAGCCAGAATTGTGTACCGCCAGCTTCAATGAATTTCCCAACCTACTTAAGAGTAGATCAGTCAGTCAGTCAGTCAGTCAGTCATATCTTCCGTTTGGATTTCTTGAGTCTACATTGTAGGTGTGTTCTTTCCCCCTGTGGAACTTTTCCTCCAGCAACAGGAAGGAGTAGCTACTGTCTCCACATGACAGTGCTTTCTCACTGAAGAAAGGGTGTGAGCCCTGTTGCTGAAGAGCACGATTCTATTATGCAGATCTGCTGGGGACTTTGCTGTGGGCTGGGCTCTGTGCAGCTCCCACTTCAGGGAGATGATGGGGAGACAGAGTCTTAAATCAGCTCACAATGGTGTCTGGGGCACTGAGGAAAGGCCTGCTGGAGACTTGCAGTCTCAGGCTTGGGGGAAGAAAGGAATATTTTCTTTCTTAAAATGTATAGGCAGGGCTAAGTGATACATCTTATTATCTAATATCTGAGTTGCGAAGCATTAAAAACTGACAAGGGGGCCTCCCCGGTGGCGCAGCGGTTGAGCGCTGGGTTGCGAAGCTGCCCGCAGCCTCTGCAGCGCAGGTTTGATCCCCGGCTGCTCCCCGGCCACTGGAGGAGGGTCCCACATGGCGCGCAGACCTCTCCTGCCGCCCGCTGCTCCCCTCAGCAGTGTACTTCGGTCCTTCTGCCTGCTCTGCTCCCCGCTCTGGCTCTGGTGAATTCTCTCACCCTCCCACGCTTCTGACTGTACCCAGTGCATGTATAAATAAATAAATAAATAGATAAATAAATAAATAAATCTTAAAAAAAAAAACTGACAAGGAACAAAATTAGGCAACAGTTAACAGAAACCCTTTTGATAATGGTGGTCCCTGGTGAAACTCATATCAAGAGAGGAGAATAAGAAATCTGATGTTAAAAAATATCTGGCCTCTTCCATTTCCATTCCCTCACCTCAGAGGTATCAGCAGGGTCTCCTAAGGCCCTGAGACTGCCTGCCTCCCACCCAGTCTGGTCCCCAAACAAGAGAAGTATGGTGAGAGTGGAAAGAGGAGAGAGTTTGCTGCAGAGTGGTTTACCTTCACCTAAAAGGGGTGGTAAAGCAGCCAAAAAATAACTGGAGAAGGTTCTTACCTCAGCTCCCTAAGCCTTGGCTGCAGGTACCAGAGAATGAAGGAAGAGCAGGACCACCGTGGGGCTAATGGGATTTGCAGCTCTGAGTCTGTGTTTTCAGTTCAGGGTGGAAGGAGAAGTGATGTGAAGACAAGACACAAACATGCACACACCCCTCCATCCACAGGTGTGCATGCGCTTATCCTAGCCTCTGGCTGATCCCACGGCCGCATCTCCTCATTTCACACACAGTCCAGGCAGTGGGATGAAGACCTGTTCCCTGGGCCACCCCCAATTAGTGCCCTAGGAGACTCCTCTCAATGGCCATCCCCTCCCTCTCTCAGGCCACTTATGCAGACCCCAGTGCAGCCCCTTTCCCCTGACTGCATCTGTTTCTGTGTTGCCTTGATTTCTAGCTGATGGGGAATGCAGTCTTCACTTTTGAGCAGTTGCTTTCCCCACACCTCCAAGGAGAGGCTTCCAAAACTGCAGCTGCCATTGAGAAGGTGAAGCTCCGAGTCTTAAAGGTAAAATCGTCCTTTCATTTGTGGGAAGCCTGCATCAAGAATGTGACCTCTGTTTCTTTTATAAAGTGGAAATTATCAAGCCCTTTCTTTCACTCCCGCCCCCTTTTCCCTCCCATCTTTCCCCTCTTTTCTTCCCAAGTGCAGCAGTGCCCAGTTAGACTTTCATGCCTGTTCTGCCATCTAGTGGCTACTTCGGGGACTACCAGGCCTCTGCATCTGACCTTCAGCTGGAAGGGAATGTCTGGCTGGCTTCCTGTCTTAGCAGTTGGATTTGGTATTTCCTGGCTGCCCACTGGAAGCAAAGCGTTATAATGATTATTGCATGGGACATAGAAATAGGCAAGGCACGCCTATTTAAAACTCATTTAAGTTAAGCCAACATAAATTTCATGGCCAAGGAAAAGATACTTGCCATATAAAATTGCTTTCAGTTTGCTCCGTACATAAGTATATATGGAAATGGCTGTAATAATAAAAGCTTGCACCGATATTATATGTCATTAGAACTTTTTGTTTTAACCTATCCTGTTTCATTTGCCCTTCATAAAAACTTGTGAGATATTTAGAAATTGGACTCATTGTAGAGATGAGGAAACTGACTAAGAGCTAATGTGATGAATGGAAACTCAACAGGCTAGTCAAGATTGGAGCTAAAGCAACACTTAAACTTAGTACACTGATATTTTACAACCTTCTACTCCCCTAAAGAACCTTGGAGCAGAAGATCAAGTCCCTCAGAGCTAGCAGGGGTCCCCGAATTGCAGACCTAGTCCTGCTGCTCTCAGCAAGTAGAAAACTCCAGCAACCAAACAATTGAGCTTAAAAGAAATACCATAGAAACACAAATAATTGTGATAATAATGAACTTGCAAGTGAGAAAAAAAAAGATAGTGTTAATACCACTTCCTGTGTCAGGGCACTTACTCTCAGATAGTCCATTTCTTCTTCAGACACTTAACTGCAAGGCCATGCTTCCTATGTTAAGCCTAAGCTCTTGCTCGTTCTGTCTCTTTGTTCATGTCCTTCTTTCATGTGATACCCTTTGGTGGTTTGAATAGAGCTCTAATTTTTTCCCAAGTTACACGCTCCAGGATAAATCCTTCATCTCTCGAACCACTCTATGCCTGGCCTGACTATTCTCGCACAGCCTGTGACAAGGAGCTTCCAGTTTTTCTGTGATCTCCTTCAAGTGACATCTAAAACCAAATCCTGGTCCCTAGGGTTGGATATCCCATGTGTAACAGAGTGAATCATCACCTTTCTTGTTCTGGGTACTAAAAACTCTGATTAAAGGCCACAATGGAAGGCAACTATGAGCCAGGCTTGTTTTTCTCTTGGGAAAAATCACTATAAACCATTTGTCCTGCTTTGGGGATGTGGAGTGAAAGAGGGAGATGATCATGGTCCTGCCTGGGACAAGGGTGATGAAACGCATACTCACGACCCACTTCTACCCACACTACACCCCACTTCTACAGTGCAGGGGGCTGCTCTGTTTTGTCTTGCCTCAGTTTCCTTATCTGTTTGAGGAGATTGTAAGATGGGTCATTATCAGTCAGAACCTCTACCTAGAGTGTAAGCATTGCATAGAGAGATTTCTGAGACCTTGAAAACACCACAGAGTCCTCAGAAATTGGGCAAAGGGGGAAGGGAGAGGATGTGAATGACTGAGTTTTTTGTTTAAGCCAAAGTTAACAGATTGCAATGTTGCTATTTAGCATATGTTTCTGTCTCTGTATTGACAGCAATATGATTATGACAGCAGCACCATCCGGAAGAGAATATTTCAAGAGGCGCTGGTTCAGATCACACTTCCCACCATGCAGAAGGCACTGGCGGCCACATGCAAACCAGTAAGGGGATGGGCGACTCCATGGTCCTGCTCTGATTGCTTGTGAAGTCCAAGTAAATTCTTTTGCCATGATGCGCTTGCAAATAGTACACCAGACCAGGGAGAGGTCCCCAGCTTTTTATGGCAAATGGTCAGATAGTAAATATTTTAGGCTTCATGCACCATACTATTTGGGTTGAAGCTACTCAAATCTGCTGTCAGAGCACAGAAGCAGCCAGACAATACAAAAACAAACGAACATGTCTGTGTTCCCATAGAACTTTACCAAAACAAGCCGCTGGCCAGATTTGCCAGCCCTGGACCAGACATGATCTCAAAGGGTAATGATCTGAGTTTGAGCCAAACTAAGGGGTGTGGTAGAGTATACTGTGTAAGCCTCATTTAGTCTGACTCATGGGGCCAACAGGTGCTCTGAGACTTGCCCACCACACCCAGGTAAAGACTGTAAGTGACATGATTACAGAAGGGTATTGATTTTGTTAAATCCAGCAACATTTCTTTAGTGATCAATGTCAATGAAACCACTTAAAGCTACAATGAACACTAAGCAACTAGGGAGGGCAGGATTATGAAGGCATGAGAGTGTCAGGGCCCAGTGGATGGGTAGATGCAGGCTCTGCAGGCTTGGGGATGCCTAGGGCCCAGACTTGCTTTTTCCAGGTATCAGCTCTATGCCTTGCACAAGTCACTTTTCCTCTCTAGATTTCATCTTCTAGAAAATGGAGATAATGCTCAGAGTATCTTTGAGACTTAGAAGACTAGAATGATCTATGAACATTTTGATGGTTGCTAGCCATATGCAAGGCACTGTGGTCACCACTTTGTATGAATTGTCTCAGTGATGAATTGTCTTATGACAACACTTGGAGGGCGTATCTCCTCATTGTGCAAATGGAAAAACCTCAGGGCTTAAGTAACAGCCCAAAGTCACAGAGCTGGGAAGCACCAACCTTGAACCCAGCACCCGCTCACTGGTGGTGTGGAATGCATTCAGGAATATCTCAGGGAGTTAAAGTGACATTAATGGATAATTAATTGGTTTTTCACATCAGTGCTTTTAATTTGGGCTGCACATTAGAGTCATCTGGGGAGCATTTGAGAAATACTGACTCAGCCCTACTCCCATGATCCTGATTTTTTAAAATAATTTTACCAAGACTTCCCTACTCCCATTCTCACTGCTTCTAAAGTGTAGCCAGGTTTGTGAACTGCTGGCTTCAACTGTCGTGTACCACAACCATCCCTACTTTTCCATTTCAGAAGTGACCTGTGAGCCTGCACATTTGCAGGCCTCTCTGTCAATAATAAAGAACGTTTTCAGATTTAAAAAGGACTTTTTGGCAGCAAAGAGAGAGTCTCCAAACACTGGAACATTTAAAATCTTTGCATGAGTTATTTGGCCACAGAAATGTCTTTGGGCATTTTAATATTCTCTAAGTGATGGGCTGTTTATTTTTTTCCAAAGTCTCATCAGTATATCTAGTTACCTGCCTGGAATTTATTTGGGGGGTTGTATTTCTTTCATAGAGAAGTATTCGATCCCCGCAGGGGAGCAAAGAATCTGTCTCTGTGATTGTCCCTTGGCCTTGTATGGATGGAGAAGCTCAGCCACCAGGGGATGGCTCAGCCCACCTCTGGACATGTCTGGGCTCAGACATTCTGCTTAACATGTTTTCCTTTTTCAGTCTCAAAAGCTGTTTGGGGGCCTTCGAGCCACCTCCTCTCAGAAGAGGGGAAGGGTAAGGAAAGCCACCACTCTTGTCTGCTCCCCTCTTTCCAAAAATCAGCAGAGTTGATCCCCATCTGTAAGAAACTTTTTTTTTTTAAGATTTATTTATTTTATTTATACAAGCACTGGGTACAGTCAGAAGCGTGGGAGGGTGAGAGAATTCACCAGAGCCAGAGGGGAGAGCAGAGCAGCCAGACTGATGAAGTACACTGCTGAGGGGAGCAGCGGGCGGCAGGAGAGGTCTGCGCGCCATGTGGGACCCTTGCCCGGTGACCGGGGATTGAACCGGTGCTGCAGAGGCTGCGGGCAGCTTTGCAACCCAGCACTCAACCGCTGCGCCACTGGGGAGGCCCTGTAAGAAACTTTTGAGATTTGAATTCAAGGGAGAATGGTTTCAGAAGAAACTATGTCCCAGAGCTTTCAGGAATGAAGGCTATTGAGCATTAGAGATTTTTAAAACTCCGAATTTCCAGAACAGATGAATTAGAACTGATGAATTAGGGAATTATTTGCTTCAGAGAAGAATATTTTATTTTATTAAGTGTGTTTTCCTTGGTTAAGTCACTTCCTAGGTCTGTGGTCCTCAATCCAAGAACACATTAGAATTGCCTGGGAAGCTTTAGAAAAATTCTGATTCCCCACAAGCCACCCTCAGGGATTCAAATTTAATTGGTCCAGGTCCAGGGAATTAAACTTCTGTGACAGTTCGATCAATTCAATATAGAAAACCTGTTTTGTAAATGGATTAAAGAACTAGACATAAGACCTGAAACCATAAAATACATAGAAGGAAATATAGGCGAAACACTACGTGATTTGCATATCAAAGACATCTTTACAGACACATCACCCAAAGCAGTGATAGTGAAGGCAAAGATAAACAGCTGGGACTACATCAAATGAAAGAGCTTCTGCACAGCAAAAGAGACAATAACAAAAACAAAGAGAAACCCCACCAACTGGGAGAACATTTTTGCACCCAACACTAATGATAAAGGACTGATCACAAAAATCTGCAAAGAGCTGATGAGACTCAGCAACAACAAAGAAAATAACCCAGTCAAAAAATGGGCAGAAGAGTAAAAAGAAACTTCTCTGAAGAGGAAATGCAAATGGCCAACAGACATATGAAAAAATGTTCAACATCACTTGTAATCAGGGAAATGCAAATCAAAACTACCATGAGATACCATCTTACACCAGTGAGAATGGCACATATTAAAAAAACTAGCAACAACAAATGTTGGCGAGGTTGTGGAGAAAAAGGAACTCTTTTACACTGTTGGTGGGAGTGCAAACTGGTCCAACCACTATGGAGAGCTGTGTGGAGATTTCTGGACCTACTAAACATAGAGCTTCCATATGATCCAGCAATTCCACTCCTAGGTATTTACCCAAAGGACACAGAAACATTAATTCCAAAGAGAACCTGCACCCCTATGTTTATAGCAGCACTGTTTACAATAGCTAAGCTTTGGAAACAACCCAGATGCCCAAAAATAGATGACTGGATCAAGAAGATGTGGTACATATACACCATGGAATATTACTCAGCATTCAAAAAAGATAAACACATGCAATTTGCAGCAACATGGATGGCGTTGGAAGGGATCATGCTCAGCGAAATAAGCCAAAAAGAAAAAGAAAAATACCGGATGGGCTCACTCATAGCAGGAATCTAGAAAACTTAAATAAGGGACCAGGAAAATGAATAACTATAAGAAAGTGAAAATCAAAATCAACAAAAAACTATGAACCAGAGACACTTTTTGGGGGGTGGAGGCCGGGAGGGGAGGGATTGGGGTCAGAATGGGGCATTTGCAATTGTGTGGGGGAATATGAAAATAAAATTTATTATTAAAAAAAAATAAAAATAAAATTAAAGTCCTTTTTATTATTTAAAAAAATAAATAAATAAATAAAACTAATAGAATATGAGAAGTAATGGGCTTCACCTCCACTGGCAAGTAGGTAGGAAACAGTTGTGCCTCACTCTCTTACTCTTCATCAGGAAATACTCATGTTAAACTTCCAGCTGAGTAAAAAAATACACTTTTACTTTTTGAAACTACTTCTTGTTCTTTTGTATTATTCTTTTTGTATTGCATCAAGTATTATTCTAATGTATGGTCTCATATTTAGAAACTTCTCCTAAATAAATATTGTTTCAGCTACCAAAAAAAAAAAAAAAAAAAAGAAAACCTGTTTTGTACAGTTAGCCATGTCACAATGGTATAAATGCTCCTAGACACCATTCTTTTCAAGAGAAATAGTTAGCTGGTTGAAATGGTGAGAGTCTACTCTTTGTTTATTCAGCAAACATGTATGAAATATGTATCAGATCTGGAATTTATTTTGTGGGTTGTATTTTCAGGCCAGTGTCCCTGCCATCTTGGCTTCACAGCCCAGGACAGAAGACAGTGCACACTGTTCACTGTCAACTGAGCCCAGTGGTGCGAATGGGGAGGAACTGGCTAGAGCTCCGGGGAGAGGTGTATCAGCTCTGCTTGTGGGGTCTTCCCAGAGTCCTTTACATCTGGTCCTGAGAGGTGAAAAGAAACTAGGGGAACAGGAGTGGGATACCACATAGGGGTTCAAAGGGTATTGAGGGCAGGAGCATGTTCTCCTCATTCTGCAGAGGAAGAGAGCTGCACAGACAAAGTACTGACATGGTTTTCCCAGAGGGCCACAGCTACTCCAGGGTAGTGTCCAATCTGTGTGTCAGTTCAGTCTCACAGACCCTCTTGGGGTCATGGAAGCTCATGTCTCTTCAATCCTTTGGCCTTGCTTTAGCGGGGGTAAAGACGGACCCCAGGAATGCCTGCTATGATTTGGTCCTGGGTGACAAACTCCCCACATGCCAGCACTGAGAGTTGTCTGAATGTGGTGACTTCTGATCACCTGCTGTAAATCCAATTCCTGTAGGCAAAAGACACCAAATCCCACTGCTAAGTCACTGGTTCTCTGAGAGCCAAACAACCAGGTGCAAGGATTACTGATTTTATCACTAGGATATAATTTGGTACTTTTGGATCCATGCTCTATCCTCATGCTTCTAATAAGCAAGCCATTTGGAAAAGCAGGAAGGGTGCAAGGATTTTGAATCACACCTGCCTTTCAAAGAAAGAGTCAGGGAGCACCAAGATCAGCTAGAAGGAAAGAGAAGAATGTTCCTGAAAAGACTAAAAGTTCTCCATATCAGAAAAAGTGTTCTATTCTTTTTTTTAATTTAACTAAATATTTTTTATCGAAGAACATTGCATCATAACATTTATATGACTCAGATACACGATGTTTAAGTCAGAACTTGTATATACCACATTAAGTTCACCACTACAATCTAATTCCATTCCTCACCACACAGTTGAACACTCTTACCCGATTGAATAGTTGAGCATACATCAACTCTAGGCCCAACAATCTCACTGGCCATCAGATAAGTACTTATCCCTTTGGAAGGTATAGACTAGAAAGTATGTGTGTGTGATGAAAATATTCTCTGTCTTGATCTGGATCATGGTTACATGGGTATGTTGATATACTTAGCCATTGAGCTGCAGTTTTTAAATGTGTTCATTATACCGTGTATACCTTGGTAGCGTACTATTGACATTTAAAGAAAAAGAAACCACAATCAGATTTCATCCCACACTAGTTAGAATGCTGATTATGGAAATATCAAGAAATAATAAGTATTGGTGAGGATATGAAGAAAAAGGAACGTTGTGCACTGTTGGCAGGGAAGTAAACTAGTACAGTCACTAGTGGAAACAGTATAGTAGTTCCTCAAAAAATTAAAATAACCATATTATCCATTAAATCGCATTTCTGGGTGTTTACACAAAGAATATGAAAACACAATTCAAGAATATATATTCACCCACACGCTGCAATGTTATTTACAATAGCCAAGATATGGAAAAATCCAAGTGTCCAACAATGAAATAATGAAGAGGTGTTAGATACACACTGGAATACTTCTCAGCCATAAAAAGATGAAATTTTGCCATTTTCAACAAGGATGGACCTTGAAGAGATTATGCCAATGTAATGAATCAGAAGAAAAAAGACAAATATCATATGATTTCACTCATTTGTGGACTAAAAAGGAAAAAAAAGCAAATGAATAAACAAAGCAAAACCAAAAACACATGCTTAGATTCTGACAACGGAATGGTAGTTACTAGAAAGGGAGGAAGGAACAGGTAGGGTGGTTGGTGGTAGTAACTGGACATTTAGTGTAATACATATGGTTGCTGATGTGAGGAGCTGTATGCCTGAGATCTATGCAGTGTTGCAAACTGTTACTTCAAAAAAGGAAGACAGGAATGGGGGTAGGGCCCCAGATCCACTAATAGGGCCTTGAAATGATTGCAGTCTCTGGTGTCTGTGCCCTCAAAGTGCATGCATAGATTGTGCCCAGTGTAGGGAATGGTGTCTGGGAGAGGGAAGGGAGAGACTGATGACTGAGAGTCTCACACTCCAAGGACAGTCTCAAATAGACCTCTCATGTCTGGTTCACTTTATCTTCTTATCTCTCACTCTCCAGGAGCTTCAGAAATATGAGCAGTTCATCTTTGCTGACCACACCAACATGATCCATGTTGAAAATGTCTATGAAGAGATTTTATATCAGATCCTCCTGGATGAAACCCTGAAAGGTAAGCAGGGTTTACCTGGGGCTGGAAAGAACTTTAGACTCTAGAAGGGAGCACCTGGGAGATGGAACCAGAAGCCCAGCTCTGTTTTCTCAGCCTTTTGAAGGGGGAGGTTAATTGACAGCAGGGTGCTGTGGAGCTGGGAGGAAGGCAAGGACCAGAAAGGGAGACTGAGCGGCCTGTCTTGGCAGTGCCACACTGTCCCAGAGCTAGACGTTAGTTCTCTCTCACTACAGGTGAGAGCTCTGTGAGATGGGAATTGTAAGCTTTTTTTTTTTCAGATGAGAAAACTGAGGCTTTAGAGATTCAACCTAGCGTGTCTCCTGAATAGCTCTTCAGATAGAGTAAAGGGCTCTTTCCAGCCACAGGCTCCTGAACCTCTGAGAGTCCAGTGAGGTGACTTCAGGACAGGGCTGGGCTGTCCCTCTCAGTACACTCCCACCTGCTCCCAGCTGGGCACAGACATAGGAGGGGGTACAGCAGTACTGTTGGCCTTGTCCTCTGTCCTGTGGATCAGACCTGTTGAGGACAGGAGTACAGACAAGAAGCCTGGAAAGAAATGTGCTGGAGAGCATCCTCCATCCCCAATCTGTAGCCCTAAAACATACCTGGTTCCTCCCTGGAAGGTGTTGAATATGACAGAACCCCTCCAAATTGACTATGTGCAAGGCCTGGCCACATAATCACCTGGGCTCAATGAAATAAGGAATTTACACTTAGGTCAGCAGGATGTCCCCATAAAGGAAGGCTCAGTGAAGGTTACTGCCTGCTGAGTGCAGCACCTCTGAGGGAATTTGTAAATGACTCCCTTCCTTCAGGCACTTTACTGCTTTTTGTGCAAAAGTTGCCACCGTGGACTGATTTTGTTAGGACACTATGCTGCTAGTCACTGGAAATGATTATGATGAAAGCTTGGAGTAGAAAAATTAGGGATGGAGGTTTTTCACAAAATGCAGAGGTAGGGATAGGGATGATTGACAGTTGTTAAACCAGCCATGGAAGTTTCCAGGAATCTGAGGTGCAGTCAGAAAGGATTCTGTGTTATAGAAAACCAACCCAACCTGACCCCAAAGTGATAAAATTCCTCAAAGGAATGAATCACCCCAAAGCAAACTGTATAAGAACATCCCTTGCTCTAGCAAAATGCAGCTGTCTGCCCACCTGTGCCTATGCAGGCACATTTCCCCCCCCCCCCCTCCGCCTTTCTCTTTTTTCTAATAAACCTTTAAAATGCAACCTTTGCCTGTTTGTATCTATGCAAATGTCTTCTTCCTTAATAAATTTGCTATGTGCTGCCGAAAAGGAAACTGGGCTGAAATCTTTCTCAGAGGGTCCTATGCACCCCACTCGCTGAACCCCATCAATTTCACCAAATACATAGGTCTGAGCTATTCAAGGTGCATGGCATCCCCTGGGCTGTGTGGTTGGAGCAGAGGCTCCTGGGCAACAATGTCAGCTGTTATTCTGACTGTTGCCAGAACTGCTCTTCTGAGGCCCTGGGACTGAGCTGGTTGTGCATAGGTCCTCATTTTGGACCCCACAGCGCAACACTCCACGTGCTCTGTGCTGAGTTCCAGCTACACATTGTCCTGTGAGAAAAGCAGAGAGCAGCAAGCCCTGCCCTTGACTGGGCAGTGCCTCAGTTGGGGCAGGCAAGGCTGGAACCACATGCACCAGCAGCTGATGAGATGCACTGGGGCTTCCATATGATGTGGGCCACAAGGAGTGCGAGCGGCTGGAACACAAAGGCCTATTGTATTCATCTTTGGATTCCACAAATCCAGATTTTTTGGTTTAATAAAAATAGAGTGTTTTATTATTTTTTTAAAGTTAGTCATATAGAAGAAATAAAGAAATGAATGAACTAAATAAAACAAAATCTTTTAGACTATAAGATCTATTAGTAGGGACCAGAAGGGAAAGTTGGGTAAATCAGATAAAGAGGCGAATCATACAGTGAAGGATAGAATTGGAGGAGTTTCAGTGGTGAATTTCATGTAATATAAACACATGTTGATTTATAATGACACTCACCTGAAACTTAAGGTTATAATGCAATGTTGCTTTAATAATTAATGTAAAGGAAAAAAAGCTATATAAAAAGATGGGTTGTTTTTTGTATTTTTTACAACAATAAAGCATCATTTCTTAAATTTAAAACTACAGTTTTTTTTAACTAAAGTAACATTGCATTATAACATTATTTGTTTCAAGTGTTCATCATTTGAAATCAACATCTGTATAGACAGCATTAAGTTCACTGCTAAGAGGTCAACTGGGTCCTGTAGCAGATGCCCAGGCAATGTTTGTTGTTTCAATAAATGAATGAGTGAAGAAATAAATGGATGAACAGTGCAGTGATCCAGAGTCTGGAAAGAGTTTTTGGCTTTGACTGTCAGGAAGGGTTCCCTGGATAGGGTGACATCACCTAGAACTTGAGATTGAGAAATGTAGAGAGCCAGAAAAACTGAGCAGGAAATTTGGCTTCTGGATAAAACTGGAAAATCCATGTTGGCCAGGGCACTGTGCTAATATCATAACTTTTCTTCTGTATCTTACAGTGATAAAGGAAGCTGCCACCCTCAAGAAGCACAACTTATTTGAAGACAACATGGCCTTGCCCTGTGAAAGTGTGTTGAGCTTAGCCGATCTAAAAACCCCTGCAGGCTCAAACCAGGCCAGCCCTGTGCGGAAAGCCTCGGCCATTTTGCATGAGGGTCCAAACGATGAGACCCCAAATAATGAAGTATTCCAGGAGTCAGTGGAGAAGCAGGCAGGGGGCCTTGGTCAGCTGGCCAAAGGAGAAAGTCCTTCTCTCACTATGACCAGTCCTCCCTCCGGTGGAGATGGGCAGGTGATTATTTCAAGTGTGGATGACCATCTTGTGACTCCTGTGACTGAAGAGGACATGGTGGGAACGGCAGGCACACACTTGGCAGAGCTGGAGTTTGGAGAGACTCCTGAGGGCGAAGACCTCACCCACCTAAAGCCAGAATCTGTATCTCCTTCAGGTTCCTTAAAGGAGCTCAGAAGCCTGCTGACAGTGCCCATTGAGGTACCAGTAGAGTCTGTCCATCTCGACATGGGAAAAGATACAAATGAGGAGACCCTGGCTCCTCCAGAAATTGAAAAAGAAGAGGAGACAACCCATGTGTACACAGAGGTCAATCAGGCAGCTGCCACCAGTCAGGACAACTGTGAAGAAAGTCAAGTCAGCAAGAGGGAGGCCCATTCTTCCCTAGGAGAGGCTCAGGCTGGTGGGGCAGAGTTGGGGGGGTTTCCAGGGGCTCCGCCAGCCAGTGGAGGGCCTACCAAGGGTGCCGGCAGCCCAGCCAGACCAGAGGAGCAGGCTGAGGCTGAAGTGCCTGCAGAGAGGGATCTCCCAGGGAGGGCTTGCACTCTGGAGGCCCATTCTGTGGAGGGAGAGACCCTGCCCCAGGAAGATTGTGCCTTCAGTCCTGCCCCCATCGGCTCCCAGGAGAGCCAGGTTTCCATAGAACAAGAAGAGGTGGGAGGGCAAAGCAGCACCGCCCAGGCTCCTGCCAGCTTGGATGCAGAGATGCAGGCTGCCCCTGTCCATGTTTATGAGTGTCAGTGGGTGGTCGAGAATGCTCCAGACCTCGATATCCTAGGCTCACAGAATGAGGAGAGTACCCCAGAGCCACCACCTTCCGAGGAGTGAATATGACAATTTCGCAAAAGTATTTCTTTGAACAAATTCAGCCAAAGGGTTATAGTAATAGGTACACTTAAGGGTTGCATGCGAATTGTTAAAAAATTTTTAATTAATTCCTTAATCTGTATGATGAAACCAGATGAAACAGGCTATGCAGAATGAAGCAAACCTTGGTGGAACTGAACGGTTCTATTGTGAATTGTTGCTTTAGCATGTTAATAGGAATTTCATGGTGGTGGAGTGTTGGGGTGAGAGGAAGCTGAGTAGGGTGTTGACACAAACACTGAAAACAGGAGGAGTTCAGCCTCCAACACTCTTTGCACATTTTCTCCCAATGCACTTTAACGCTTTTTAATTTTTTCTAAGAATGCATATGCAAATCCAGCTTCACAACCTATTATGCCAACTTCACTGTCACTTAAGGGCTCAGCATCTGTCCACAGTTGGGCTGCAAGAAAACAGGGATGATGTGAACACAACACTCTTGCCTCATACAGCCCACGGAGCCTGAGAGATCTCCAGGGATGCTGGGCTGAATCGGAGGAAGGTTGTGGTCTGTGTTGCTGTCTGGGCCTGTCACTAATTCTGCTGTCAATTTCTGGTTCATTAATCTTGTTGATTCTTATTAATTAATCACCTTTTCTGGAAATTAAGAGGAAGCAAGACATTTCCTTGGCATGTTTAAGCCTGAAAGCATTCCAAATTAGCCTCAGACCATGCCGAGAAAGCGCTTAGCTAAATTACTGAGCTTAAAACCTACCAATCAACAAATATTATTGAACAGTTACTCTATACCACATACTATAGCAGGCATAGTAACAAAAATAAGAAAATATACAGGGTTTTGTGTAGTGTAAATTAAAGAACCCAAGGGAATTATATCTAGAAGGAAAAAATATGCTACTTTTCAAAGCATGACAGCTTTCTATTTTCCTATTCAAATAGTCCTGCTTCATTCCCAGAAGGGAATAAATGAATCATAAATAAGAAATGAAGGAGGGAATTAGGGAGGGAGGAAGGGAGAGAAAGAGAGGGCAGGAAAGCGAGCCAAAGTATGTATTATCAAGTTCCAAAGATCTTACCAAGAGTAGAAAGCATTTGTTAATTCATTCAGCAAGTTACCTGAGGTCCCTTACCTCCCCAGAGCTTGAGATATTGTGGTGAAAGAAGATTGTTTCTTTCATTTTAATGGTAATAAACACAAATCCATCTTCTAAATGGATCATGACCCTTAACTCTTCCTGTTAAAGCTGGAATGGACTTGTAAAAGATGAAAAAGATAGGTTCTGTAATCTTCAGAAAAATTCCAGATGATTTTCTCAAAGCTTCAGTCCCAGGAACTACATCTTGAAATTTCCTTCTACAAATTTTAATATTAGTTCCCAACATATTATCCTAAGAGCTTGTTTGTATTATTAGCAACAAATAAGTTTGTATTCATTCTGTACATATTTGTACAGTGTGTTTAACCATTTAGCCAGGAATCTGAATATCTCCCTTTATACTTCCCCATGAAGAATTTCTTGGATTTCTAGGTTGTAAAGGATGAAAAAAATCATTATCAGTATACTCTCATATTGAATTGTTTTAAATTTTCTTAGTGCATTTAAATCCTCATGTCTGTGAGGGATCTGGTTATAGGTAAAAAGGTAGATTCCACATCTTCCTCTCCCCTCCCTGTGTGAGCAAACACATACCCAGTGTCTTTGCACTTAGCACAGATTACTGAAATTATGTTTACTTCCCGTCTCTCCCTGGGGCTCCTCTCTTCAAAGACAGAAACCAGGGTTTAGTCATGTGTTTCCTGCTTGAAACATAGAGCCTTGAATAATGGCTCTCTGCCTCCTCAAGTCTCTTCAACGTCTCTAATGCCAACACAGGAATTAGCTCCTGCCAGGCAGGGCAGGAAAGGAGAGAACTGAACTTCTGCCTTACTGCTCTGCTGGGGCTCTTTGGACTTTCTGCCCTTGGGGAGTCATTCCTTAAATCAGGTCCAAAGTCCAAAGGGTGGATGGCCAGGTGATCAGATGCTGCCCAGTAAGGCCAGCAGCCAAGAAGCCGTGTCCAGCCCACAAGGTTGCCTTGGGGGAAAGCCTGACAAAGGAGGTCCCAGCCCAGGCTGACCCCACTCATGACTTCCCCACTTCCTTCCTGTGCTAACTTTAGGGCTTCTTGCACCCTTTGGAAAATGAAGAGATTCTGCTAAACCTAAGAGAGTACATTTCGTTGCTCTAATACTCTGTATTAGATGGATAAACATCAGTGCCCTCCCTTTATCCATCCCGTAGGCCAGAGAAGATGGTACAACGTGGAAGGATGCACTCAAGAACACAGTCAAAGAATATTCCTATAAATATTTCAGAAAAGACAAGTTCACAAGACTAAACAGGAAGATTATCTTCCATTTGAAGCTGGAACAGGAAATTAAAATGCATTAAAAATATTCTGTATTCATTTGAACACATTGAGTGGAACAACTTCATATTCTTTGGATTTTGTCTTGATTTTAATACAGGCTTGTATTTGGTGCTCCAGTGGTTTCCAGGTTGCATGAAGGAGGTTGTGAATTAAATGAACAGCATGAAAAGATTTTGACCACTGCTCTGGACACCCCTCCTGTGGGCAAACCCATTAGAAAAGTATAAAACTTCAAGATGTGGTTTTTCCCAAAACACCAGGACTTTAATTATGTTGCTGTTGACCTTTCACCAAGAAAGAATATTTCCTTGAAAAAAAAACTTGTCATTTTCTCCTTGTAGCTGAGAAAGGAAAGAGTAGTGCCTTGATTTATGCAGAATAAACTCTTCAAGAAATGTGCTGTGCAGATCACAAGGATAAGCTTCCAATTTATCCAAAAGCTTTCTAAAGTGGCTGTCAAGGACTGTAGGCCTTAAGGCTTTCTGTTCTACAATCTTAAGGCCTTCTCTTCTATAACGCTGATTCATAGGACTGGTTTTGTAGCCCTCCAGATTGGAGTTGTGATTTCAAAGGACTTCACAATTCTTCTAGCCAAAAGGGATTCTAATTCCTTCTAAAGTGTCAAATCATATGCTACCCAGCAATTTTAATCTGGGGGAGGGCAGGCCATCACTGACAGAAACAATAAGACAGTTGCACTAGGTAAAACAGTTAGCTTTGTGTGCCTTCTTACTTGACCTTTAATGAATGGGATTGGGATTTGCCTCTTAAGTCTGCAACTTCATGAAGAAAACCATACACTGTGCATTGGTTTTACCAGTCATGCTGTAAAGCAGATAAAGCCGAAACACTTTGTAACCACATATTTACTTTGCAAGTGCCTATATTCCAATAAAATGTTCATCCTTGAAGAGCTTTCCAGATGTCATATATATTTGGAATGGGGCTGGGTTTATCTTTTAAGTAAATGTCATGCTTGAGGTAGATGGAACAGCCCTCACTCCTATGGGATTACGGCGCTTTTAACTTTCTATTATCAGGAAAGAATCCGCAGGGAAGTCACTTCATGTCAGATGTCCTTATACTTTGGAAATATACCTGCTTATTTCTCTAGGAATTGGATTATGCCCTTAATACATTACTTGACATCACTGAATTGCTGTTCAACCTTATATTAATTTTCAGTGGGTAGCGTTGGGTGAAACATTCATTCTATAATTATAAGTAAAATAATATTTACTCACCAATATTGACTTGATTGCTCATTCACCCAACAAATAACGATTGTGTCACTACTACACAGAGACATTCCAGTGGCTTCTGGAGAAATAGGTAAACTTGGTAGATATGAGTACTTCATCCTCTAACTTGAATTCTTAGGGTTCACATGACCAGGGAGAGCCGAGAGTAGGTTTCTGCTTCCTCACTTGCCATAAAGCTTGCTTATAATCCCGGCTTTCATGCTACTTAAACCAACAACTTCAGTCGGGAGAGGAAGAAATTCGATAAATCACTTCCAGGAGTGAGGGGCATATGTGGTGTGGTGCAAACTTCACCTCTCCCTCACTTCCTTCCAGACAAGACTTTCAGTGTACAAGAACCACCCCCAGAGGAGCTCCTCCAGAACTTCTATTTAGGGCCAATAATCTGAATGGGATAGGAGGTGAGGGTTGATTTTCTTAGATTCCATGTTTATTTGGTATGGCTTAGATGGGACTAATGAAGGACTTGGGAGGATTTCGTCATCTAAAAGCTGTTCTCTCCTCAACCATGCTTGGGGCCACTTAATCTTTGCCATAGTCTTCTCTCTGCCAAGAACATCTGACCCTCCCTTTTCCATCTGGCCAATTCCCATGTTTCCTGTAAGAGTCAAGATAAGTCAGAACAAATCCCCCTCCCTGCCCCTACCCAGTAAAACTTTGCTGAACTCTCAACCTAATTTATTTGCCCAGTTCCAACCATCCTCTTTTACTCTATTGCAGCCATTTACCTCCCTGTACCTTTGGGGCAATGACCTTATCCTCAATATTTGTATCCCTAGCAGAGCATAGGCCCTTGCAGATAGTAAATGCTCAATAAATGTTAAAGAAATGAATAAATTATCACTGCTACCAGAAGCAGCACACAAATGGAGATATAAGTGGTGAGTCCCTATATACCATGAAGGTGGCTGAAGTGGGTAACTTTACTACCCTTTAGTCTACTGAGACAGTTCTGCATTACTGATGGAATTTGATCAAGTGTTTGTGCATACCCATTCCTCTGGGAGACAGCTTCAGAGCCAAGTTGCCCCCCTCAAAATCAAGCTAGTTATTATGAACTATCTTTTAGTTTCAATACAGTGGACTCCACTAGGTTTTCCTGAGGTCTCCATGAGATCAATAATGCAAAAAGGTTAAGAAGTTGGCCCTTGAATTTCACCCAAGTATGTGAAACATGAGCAAATGTCCAAGAATCATGGATAGCATCTTCCTCTTGGCAAGTACTCCTCTTATGGCTAGGCAGGAACAGGGAAGAAGACATGATTCTTGCTTTGAGGGAACTCAGTTCAGCTGGGGAAACTGAGATGCAAAAAAGATTCTGCAAGAGGAGGAAGGTGTGGCAGCACAAAGGAAAGGCAACTAACGACCCCACTCAGGAAATGGCAGGTTTGATTATGAAACATTAATTTCCTGCCTCTTTTATTTCTTCTTTCATTTCTTCTTTGTCATAACATTGTGATTTATAAGAAATATGTATTTGTTAATTTAGATGACCAAAAAATATTTTTTCATACATAGTTGGTCTTTATCCATAACTTCTGGTTCACAGCTCCCAAAATCTTAGAATTTCCTAAGTGTTGTGAGTGATAAAGTTATCTCTTGTGTTGCTGACAAGATCTTTTGGAAAACATCTAAGGGTAGGAGCAGGTTTCCAGGAGAACTAACCATGTGATTAGAGGTTTAGAACTTCCATTCTTCTCTCAGACCCCCTAATATATGGAGAGAGTTGGAAATTGCTAGTGGTCAATGATTTAATCAGTCATGCCAATGGAGTGAAGCCTTCATAAAAACTCAAAAGGAAGGACTTCAAAGAGCTTCCAGGTTAGGGAACATGTAGAAATTTGGGGAGAATGGTGAGCCTGAAGTGAGCATGAGGGCTTCATGCCTTTTCCTCATACCTTGTTCTACACATCTCTTCCATCTAACCACTCCTAAGTTAAATCCTTTGTAATAAACTGGTGATCTAGTGAATAAATGTGTTTCCGAAGTTCTGTGAAATTAATTAAGTTAATTAATTAAATGAAATTAATCAAACCTGAGGATGGGTCCAAAAAACCTCTGATATGTAACTAGTAAGTCAGATGTATAAGTGACTATATGGGCTTATAGCTGGATCTGAAAGAGAGGGCAGTTCTAAGAAACTGAGCACTTTCCCTGTAGACTCTAATGCTTGTCTCGGAAGATAATGTCAGAATTAAATGTCTGAATTAAGTTGAATTCTTGGATACCTTAATAGTGTTAAAGAATTGCCTGTTGGTATGGGGAAAGCTACACAGACATACACCCCCCATGTTGATTGGGCCAGGAATCCAATAAAGTCATGGACTAAAATCCAAAATTCAGTTGTCTATAGATACCCTGAAGAAAACTGTTATCAAGCTATCAAGATCCCTTTTGGTCCATTTCTACACATTCTTTCCAGGAATCTTGAGTCCTCTGTGAATGGCATTCAGACCTTCTGCAGATCCAGCTGGGTTCCCCGCCTGGTGTCTACTTAAAGGGGTAAGCATATATGGTGGTGAGGGTTTTTTTGTATTAGCAACTCCAAGGGACAGGGACAGGCCACAGTTGGGGTGGGAGAGTGGGTTAATGTGTTGGGAATTCCTACAAGACATGCAAGTGATTTTGAAGCTAAGGGTAGCTTTTCTAGGTAAGACCTCAACTCCTCACCCTGTCCAGCCTGTGCTGCTGCCTGAAGCATGTGGGGGATAGTTTTTTCTGTATATTGATTTGAGAAGAATCATGTGGGAGAAATAAAGGTATTTTCATCCCTGTCTGTTGGAGACAGACATATAAAGATTATTGTTTTAAGTGAGGTAACACTGGTTTACAGTGTTGCTTGTGTTTTAGAGATATAGGATCTCCCCCTTCTGGTGTTGCTACCACACCACACCCTCCAACAAAGCGCCCCTAGTTTCAGGTGTGCTCCTACCCACTTTGTTCATGCCCCGCTCCCCCTGGTTGGAGGCTTCCAGTTTTGCATCTTTGAGATTTTATTTCAGGTCTTTGAACAGATATTTTCCATGCACCATCAGGATTCATTCATGTATTAATTTTTTCAAAAATTATTTATGGATATCCACTAATGTGCCATGAATTCTTCCAGGCCCTGGGGACAGAGTGACCAACAAAACCAGCACACCTTCACTATGCTCAGAGTGAGGCTTAGCTTTTTTGTACTGACAATTTCAATGATTCGACTTAAGGGAAATACTCTTAATATAAATGAGCCACTCTACTTTTCAGATCATGTATTAGAAATCTTCTATAAATTGTCTTATAAACTTGGTTTACTTCCTTTGAGGTCCTTTATGAGAAAGCTGTACATCTGTGAACTCACTGGGTGACCTTGGACTAATCACTCAACCTTTATAAGAATTAGTGTGTAAGGGGCCTCCCTGGAGGCACAGGGGTTAAAGACAGCACGATCAAGCTATCGCCAACCACTGCAGCCAGGGGGCATTTATGCATTTATGTACATAAATAAATAATTCTTAAAAAAAGAATTAATTTGTAAAATGGGAATACCAGAACCCACATCACAAGTTACTGGGAGGGTTGAAAGAGATAAAGTGGGCCTCTGGTGGTGCAAGGGGTTAAGACGCAAGCTTTGAAGCTGTCCGTAGCCACTACAGCGCGAGTTCGATCCACTGCCAGGGAACTGCCTACATGGCGCAGCAGACCTCTCCTGACTCGCCTGCTGCTCCCCTAGCAGTGTATTTCAGTCAATCTGCCTGTTCTGTTCCCCGCTCTGTCTCTGGTGAATCCTCATATCCCTCACACCTGTGGCCTGTACTCCAGCTCTTGTATGCATGAATGGATAAATCTTTAAAAAAAAAAAAAGATAATGTATAGTAGATACTTAAGCACAGATGAATTAAATGAAGTGCAAAGAAGTTGAAGTTTCCACAGCTAGTAATTAGTCGAGGTGTCTCATTTAACAATACTACAAAAGAAAACCACTGCAAAACTCAGTGGCTTAAACCAGTAAACATTTATCATTGCTCAAAAGGTGACCACCCAACTCAGGTAGACTGTTCTGTTGATCTTGCCAGGCTCTCTCAACATGTCTGGGAGAGCTGAACAGATTTTGGCCTAGCCTACCCATAGCAAGCACAACTGGGCCCTACTCCATGTGACCTCTCATCTGTCAGCAAAGTGGCTCAGGCTTATTCTTATGGCAGAAGAAAGAGAGAGGGAGGGAGAGAAAGAGAAGGAGGAAGTGAAAGGAGTCCTGAGACGTGGACTGAGAACTGGCATTGTTAGGGGGAAAAGGATGTCCTAGAGCTAATTCCATACAGGCTTTGTGGACTCCACCCCCACCCCAGACCAAAGCCATCAGGACATTGGGAAAGAGAATCCCATCACCACTAAAGGTTGCTGGAATCTGAGGGTGGAGTTAAGCAGCCAGGTTTGGTATAAAACCAGACACGTGGGCTTTGGGAAGCCCTATTGGCTCTCCGCCAGCTCGCGGCTCTCAGCCAGCTCATGGCACTCTGCCAGTTCTCAGGGTGCCACTGGGTTTCCAGGTCGGCGGATCGGGTAGGACGCATTTAAGATTTTATTTCCTATTTTCTCCCTGAGTTGTACATTTCCTCATTTCCCCTTCCCTTGTAAATAAACCTTTTATTAACCTTTTGTGTGTGCCTGCAGTGGAGTATTCATAAGTCCCTTTTAAACACGCGGGTGAGGACCCACAGCCAGGCAACACGTTTTATATCGGGGCTGCTCTGTAACAGTTCCACACCAGTTCCACCATAGTCTTTTGGAGAAAGCAAGTCACAAGCCTGGCCAAGATTCAAAGGCTTGGAAGAGCTGCAAAGTCGCACTGCGTTGGGTTTGAGGCCACGGATTAACTGGGCCATCACTGCAATCAGCCTCCTCACCAGGATTCAAAGGACTTGTTTACTCTAAAACCCACACTCCTGCCACCCCCCTAAACTAGCTATAACTATAAACACTCACGCAACTGACTTTGGTGACTCTCGTATAGCTGC